CCCGAGCAGGGGCGGGCCGTGTGGCCCGGACGACGTGGCCACCCGTTCCCCGCTACCCTGGCAGCGGCCTCCGCGCCCTTCGCGCCCTCCGGCCGCTCCCTCCCTAGTGGCGCGGGGCTGCGTGGGCTCCGCCCCTTCCTGTCAGCTTCCCGGGGGAAGGTCCGCTGCAGGCAGTTATGTAACTTGTAGGGGCAGCTGCGCAGAGATCGCTGTCGCTTTAAAGGAAAGAGCTCGGTGAGCTGATGCAATTCAGCCCACAGTACACATTTTTTTTTTGCATGGATCAAAGGTGGATTAAAATAAATTCGTCTGCTCCGTGATTCTGTAGCAGTCACTCTGATACTAAGACAAGATGGTCACCGTACACAAGTTGATGCAGGCAGTCTGCATTTGTAGCATGCTGTAACTGTGAAAAGTCACCATATTAGGTTATGAATTTACCTGTGTATTATGACGATTTAGATTCCTAGTTACAAGCAAAAATATATACGCCCTTTCTTTCACTGTGTGTATCTCTCCATATGGTATGTCTCCACTTAATATAAACCCATAAAAAGTTCAGATTAGGTATAAAATCCAGCGTTTTGCATGGAAATGTGCTAATGAAAAACCTAAAGTAGGCTCTAATGATGAGAACACTAGTATTATCTATTTTCATATCCTTGGTACCTTTATAGAAATACGTATCTTCATTAGTCACAATGTTTTCTGTGGTGCACTTTCATTGTGTTTCCGAGTAATCCCTTCGTTTAGCTACATGTATGTATAATGCATGCATGTTAGTTGCTGATCATGACTTTCACAATACAGTGTAGTTTTAAATATCCATGTTAAAATGCTCCATATCTAACCCTGAACTGCATATATGTGTTACATATTCAAAGCCTCCCTGTGCTCTAAATAGTGTCAGGTCGAAAGGACACTCTGATCCCCCAAACTTCAAAAGGAAGTTCAAATATCCAAAAATGAACTCAACCTGGACTGTAGGAGGCTTTTTGGTGGTTAGATAAAAGCCAGCATTCCTCCAGGAACTTGTGAAGTGGGTTCCTATCCGCCAAAAGGGATCATTTCCCTTACCTCTTGCCAATAGGACAAATAGCTCTCTTGTTAACACATCTGGGCCCCATCAGCATATCAAGGTCCTTAGCCTGATTCCTCAATCCCTACTCACAGTACTTATACATTTCAAAACCCACATGGCCATCTCCTAGCCCTTCTTTCTCTCCAGCATCTCACAATCCTTGTAACCATTGCTATTCTCATTATGCCTTATAACCAATATTCTTAGATGGTTAAGAAGAAGAAAGGAAGAAAGAAGAAAGAAAAAAGGAAAGGAAGAAAAGAAAGGAAGAAAGAAAAAGAAAAAAGAAACACAGTAATTCAAATGTTTTCGACAAATTCAATATTACTCTAATACAAAACCGAGATAAGGCTACATCAAATGAAGAAAATTGCAGACTAATATCCGCGATGAACAAAAATTCTAATCCTTATGACAAGGTTTGACATAGAAAAAAGATCATGTACCACAACCAAATTGGGTTTATCCTGGAGAGGCAGAGATAGATCAACGAACATAAGTCAGTAGTATAATAAATCATATCAGTGGACGTAAAGACAACATAAAATCCTCCCAATAGATGTAGAAAAGTCCTTTGAAAGAATCCAACATGACTTCATGATAAAAGTCCTGGGGAGAACAGTCCTGGAGAGAAATGCAAAGGAAGGAAGCACATGTGGATATGGTGATGGAGATGCTAAAGTGAAAAGAACACGAATCTGTTAGAGAAGCTAGGCAAAGTGGTACACAGCACTTGGGACACTGGTGTAGGATGATTGCCACAAGTCTGGGTTAGAAAGCTTTGCTTATTAGGCTATAAAGGTTATAAGAATATTTTCTCACTTGTCTAGAATTATTACTCGTTTGTAATAAGGTTTGTTACCAACTCAATATTTTGTTTTGTGTGGAATTTGAGTAGAAGTTCATTTTTCCATATTGTAATTAAGTTTTCAGTCTCATTTATTGAAGAAAATTTTGTTTACAATGTAATATGATTGGTGCTTTCCTTGAAAGTGTTTGTGGACTGCATAAGTGAGTCTATCATCAGACTCGTTATTCTAATTTTTGATCCATTTATATAAGCAAATTTACTATGTTTGTACAGTGTTGAAATCACAGGAAAAATTTAAACCTTGATCCTGTGAATTGCAGTTTATTTTAAAAAATTAATTATTTTAAAACCGATTGGACCCAAACCAGTAGCTTCACCAATATGAAGGAATATTTTTGACAAACAATGATTAAAAAAACTGAAAAGTCTGAAGGGCATGAAAGGTGCTTTGACTTTTAATTATTTACTAGAGAAATGCATTTGAGAAGATAAAACAATAATTCTCCTATGAGACATGTGTGTGTGTGTGCCTCTGTATAAGTGCACAGGTGCACAGTTTTAAACAAAGTTACACATAACTGCTAGCTCTTGAAGAGTATTAGTTTCCTGGGTTCCCAAGAAAACACTCTGAATAATATGCTTATTGAATGTAATATTTTATTCACAGAAAATCAAAATTATTTAACACAAATTATGGAGAAATTAAAAGTGTTTACAAACGTTGAAACAGAATATGTCCTTATTTGCATGTTAGCAAACAAGAATATAGTTTCAGTCCAAGATCAACCATGAAGTCCATTATAGGAGGGACAAAGAGTATGTGAACAAGAGTTAGTTTGAGCAGTTATGGGAATGTACTCTTTGCAGAAAGATAGGATTGAGTTGATCTACTAACACACTGTGATGCCGTTTGCTTGATATTGGTCATGGAATTGTAAAGAATAGCTGACTACATCCATAATTCAAGGGGACATATAAAGTAGATTTATTGAAGGGGAGGCAGGGAAGGTGACTTATCTGGTAAGAGAATCTTCACTACCATGGGGATTTAAGTTCAAATCCACAGAGCTCATAAGAAGCCGGGCATGATGGTGTGTGTCTGTAACACCAGCGCTGTGAAGGTGGGAAGTGGAGACTGGAGGATCACTGAGGCTTGCTGGCCACCAGCTCTGCTCCAGGCCCAGTGAGATATCCTAGCTCAAGGAAATGGGACAGAGTGATAGATGAAGACACCTGACATTCTCTATGGTCTTTGCTTTGTAGGGCATGTATACTATCACACACGAGCATGCAAATACCACATAATACACTCTCACAAATGTGTTGCTTGTTTTTTATTTATTTTTTATTTTAATGGGTGTGAATATAGGAAAAACAGCTCTAGTGAGAAAGTAAGAAAGCAACATAACTGGAAAGACAAAGATGAAGGACAAAACAGCTTTTCACGTGCGACTGTTCTCATGTAGACACTTCATACTCACATGGGACTGTTCTCATGTAGACACTGCACACTCACATGGGACTGTTCTCACGTAGACACTTCAAACTCACATGGGATTTCCTCACTGTGGACACTGCACCCTCTGCACTACATCCCTGCCTTGTGCTCTGGGGTTAATTTTTTTCCTGTGCAAGAAGCCCAGGAAGATGCTGCTCCACACAATGGAGGATAAGATCCCAGCATCACAGTCCACATGAAGGGCCTGCAAACGGCGAGCTCCTATATTTTTAAAATTGAGGTGTTATGAAATCTTATCATCATTATGTAAATGTAAAGGCAGATCACTTCAGTCCCAGAATTAATCATGTTCATCATCAGTCTCCTCAAGTACATAAAAGGCATCCTGGGAGGGGAAATCATGCCAGTTCTGTTTATTCTTAGCACCTAAAAGTGAAAACAAAATAATTGTCAAAATATTTTACAGAATTAATAAATGGGTGAAGGAATGAGCGAATTATGTGAAGACTGTCAAGATGACAGCAAATAAGCACATTATAAAATCTCTATGTAGCATGAATTTTTTGTTTCTGTTTTCGTTTGTTTCACGTTGAGGTTGAAAACTTATACAAACAGAAGCATTTCTCAGAGCAAAGCCTAGCTATTATACAATTTTCAGTGAAATGTTAGTAGATTATTAAAACACCAGAAGTATTAACTGCAGCATGCAGGAACACCAAACTAGATAGCATTTGTAAAAATATGGTAGTTTTTGAAAACCATATAAAAGATTTTAATAAAATGTCATATACTTTTCAACTGTGGATAATGTTACTGTCATTACATTTCCTAATACTTATTTTGTTTGCAAAATGCCACTTAACATTATAAAACCTAGTTAGTAAGAAGAATAATTTCCTTTTTTTTTATTTTTATGGTTGTTGATTAAACCCAGGGTCTTATACATGACTGAAAAGTATTCTTCCACTGAACTACACTGAAGGTCTACCAGCATCTTTCTCAATTGTTACTTTTGTATGTTTTTTTCCCTAACATTTCTAAAAGTTTTTTAACTGTGCATATTGTATGATTATAGAAGTGAAGCAGCACTGGCACCATTTGTAGCATGAGGGCCAGCTTGTTGGGGTTTCCGTCCCACCTGGTACCCCAACAGCCGGCAAATCCCAAAGAGAAATTACACACAGGACTCCATAAGGTAATAAACTGATTGGCCCATTAGGTCAGGCTTTTTGTTAACTCTTATAATTTATATTAACCCATTATTCTCATCTATGTTAGCCATAATGGCTCCGTACCTTTCTCAGCTGGGCAAGTTACATGCTGCCTCTTCAGTGGTCTGCACAGGAGAGGCCGAGGGAGTTTCTTCCTCCCTAGCCTTATCCTATTCTCATTGCCCCGCCTCTACTTCCTGTCTGGTTGACCCGCCTATACTTCCTGCCTGGCCAATCAGCGTTTTATTAAAATACATGATTGACAGAATACAGACAATTCTCCCTGGCACCATCCAATTTCTGATGGGCATTTTCAAAATTAGACCTAATGCTCATAATGTTCCATTATAGTTCAAAATGCAAGTATATCACTGTGGACACAAAATATTCACCAAGAAAATAGAAAACAAGATATCTGAGGTCTCAAACAGATTCACGATCAAAATATTCATGGACTGTGCCACTTTTAAGAGTGAATTTATAAACACATGACTACACTGTTGCTAAGTGACCTGTACTGGGGATAGAGAATACGCTTGTTCTGCAGATCTGTTTTCGCTGATGTGTCTCTTGAATATGGGTTACTCCTCTCTTGAAGGAATGCCTTGCATCAATTCAGTAGGACTTTGGGCTGTTTTCCTACAACTGTGTCAGAGACTTTCACAACAATCTTGCTGCTATTAATACAGTTGCTGCTTCGAATCTGAATAAAGCAACTTGGCCTAGAGAGTCCAGCAGCTACAGCCATTCCAGTAAAACCTCAAGTGTTTCCTGTCCAGAGTGGAAGGTGGAGAAGAGGGGCTCAGGGAAGCTCCTGGGCTGGCTTTACTGCCTCCCATAGATACAAGCTTTGTCACTTTTCCTAAAGGCCTTGAAGCTATTGTACTAGCATTTGCTCCACACTGCCCCACCCTCAATGTGTTTTGCATTTCTCTTTGTCTTCTTCTGGCTTTTTGTTATGGGGAAAAAACCATCCCATGAGGACCTTTCTGTGTTCAGGTATGTTAATGTTTCAGTTCTAGAAATTTTGTCACTTTCTTTGTTCACTATTGCTCCAATTTCCAGTTATAATCCATCTTTCACATACAATAACCTTTGCTTTTCCTTCAATCTAAACATTTTTGTTAGTGTTATGTTTATACAGGGTCTCACCATCTAGCCCAGTTTCCTTCAGTGCTGAGCCATGTATAACTGTGCACCACTAGTCCAAGTATATTAAAGTTTTTGATACATGTTTTTCTGCTGTCTTATTTTAATACTTCTCTTTTGTGTTATTGATTCTTTGACTATGTATTAGGTCTTGAAGAATATTCTGAACCATAGTTCCATTCCCTGACTTGATTTGGATATGTATTGTCCTTTATATGCCTTGATGCCCACAGTGACTTTACAGGAGCAAACGTCTGTGCAAACTGGACAGAAATGAATAGTGCCTAGTGCTCACACTGGTGAAGGAATCAGATGCGTCAACAAAGGTAGGAGACATGGATAATGAAAAAGATTCTTGTTGTGCTAATAAATTCATATAAACTTATTGTCTGCTTTGTAACAGAATTGGAATTATCTGTATTTATTTACATCTGTGAATAAGTTAGTCACAACTCTTTAGAATATTTACATTACTGTTGCATCAATTAAAAAATTTAAGCAATTTTATACCATCTCCTAACAACTACCATAACACTAATTGTAAGTAAAATGCACAGTAAATTTTAAGAAAATGTTAAATCTGAGTTATTTAAGTCAGAAATAAAAGGCATTTTGATATTAAAACTGCATACTTATGAACTATTGTATATTAGTTTATGCATGTGTATGCATGCATATATGACCCTTACAAAAAGTAAAATAATTAATCTTCTCAGTCCCAGGTATTTGACGAATAACTAACTATGTTAGATTATTAGGTAATTATTTACTTGTTGGAAGAACTTTGGAAAATATGTACAGGTATTTACCTGGCTTCATTTTGAAATATTAATGGAATTCTTATGTTATATAGAAGTTAAGTTACTTTGTCTTTTACGTGAGTCAGAATTTTATATATTTTTCCTTGTCAGAAATTAAATGGTTACAATTTAATATGCAAACAGTTAAAGCAATGCAAATAAACTTATTTGTTTGATGACAGCACATGAGAATTCTGCTTTTTTCAGCATTAACCATGGAGGACTCCAATCCATTGTGTGTTATGTATGAAGCATCTGGATGAAGCTCAGCTGGGTTTTCTTGCAAAGTGTAAGATTTTTGTGAAGAAAACGATAAGCCACTTCTTTAGTACATATTGATGTTTAATTGATATTGTACATACGGATTCAGTAAATTAGCATGTTATGAATTGTCAAGAGTCAGCAAGACGTACATCAGAAGTCTGTATTTATAAATATTAACACTATAGTGTAATTTGGAACATCATCTTGGAAACAATGAAGGGTGTCCTACATTACATATTATTAACAACTCTAAGTGTGGAATTTCTAATGGGAACTTTAGGCAATGCATTCACAGTGCTGGTGAACATTATGCACTGGGTAAAGAGGAGAAAGATATCTTTCATAGACCAGATCTTGACTACTCTGGCAATTTCCAGAATTTCTTTGTTCTTTTCACTTACTGCAAATTTATTTCTATATGAACGGTATCGAGCCATAATAATGACTTCAAGAATTTTGAGATACATGTGTACGTTTTGGACAGTAACCAATCATTTCAGTATCTGGCTTGCTACATGTCTCAGCATCTTCTATTTTCTCAAGATAGCCAATTTTTCAAACTCTATTTTCCTTCATCTAAAGTGGAGAATAAAAAAAATGGTTTCGGGGACACTTTTGGCATCTCTGCTATTCTTGTTTTTAAATATTTTAGTTGCAAACACACATATTCATGTCTTCAATTACAGAATCGAATCAAATACATCCTTCAGTGCCATATCAAGTAATTATTCTCAACTTCATAGGCACATTATACTTACCAACACTATGTTCACACTCATCCCCTTCACTGTGACCCTGACAGTGTTCCTCCTGCTCATCTTCTCCCTGTGGCGACATCTGAAGAGCATGCAGTACAATGCCCAAGGCTCCAGAGATGTCAGCACTGTGGCCCACATGAAGGCTCTGCAAATGGTGGTCAGCTTCCTGTTACTGTATTCCTTTTATTTTCTCTCACTTCTTTTGCAGTTTTGTAACATTAAGTATAAGCAAAAAAACTCAATTTCTCTCCTTTTCTGGGTTATTGGAGTTGTTTTCCCTTCTGGCCACTCCTGTGTCTTGATCCTGGGAAACAGTAAACTTAGACAGGCATTTATTTCCATGGTGTGGTGGCTGAGGTGCAGGCTGAGTGCTGTGGAGCCCTCAGTTTCCTAAAATGTGCATCATCTTTTGTATTTTAGAGGAATATTAGTTCTTAATAAATTATTTTTATACAAATTTCAAACTTCTGTACTTATTTGTAGCATTGTGAATTTTGCAAAATTTTGTGTAGATTAGGTACTGCCCTAACCATTAAAGACTTGGCAGAAAATATGGAAATATCTATATAGTTTTATAAGGATAGATATGAACATGGACTTAATAAATATATAAACACAAAATATTAGCAAAATTATTTTTTTATCTAGAATTAGACACTTTGACATTTTCAAATGATTTTTGTTAAATGTAAAATACATGGGTGTATGTATTCATGTGGCATGTGTTCAATGTTAAAACTGTTGTAAGAATTCTTGGATTCTTTAGAAGTGACCCCTTCATATTACTAGGTTTGTTTTATCAAATTTTTCTCCTCTAAAATTGTTTATTTATTTTCATACTTATTAGAAAAATGTTGATTTTATTTTTTGTATGTCTTTCAGAGGCGATTTGAAGGGAATGCACATGTTATAAAATGTGGATATGTATAAAAGGTAGCTACTTGGAGGAGGATGATATAGCTCTTATACATGGCTCATTGACATTTGAAAATTTCAGCTATTTTGGAATATTGTATGAATAAGTTCTCTTATTGAAAAGAGGTTAAAGTACTCAATTGGGAAACAGGAAAATTGTTCAGGGAGTAGTTGTTTGTTATTCTGTTGCCCAGGAAACATTAAGAAAAGAAAGTATGTATATATTTAATGCTGAGAGAAATGTTTTGCATTGTAAGGTATCTGCAGTTGAATAAATTTTAGAAATGTTACCTATGAATGTGAAATGCTAACAGTCAAAGATGAAGTTCAATAAAAGAAAAACTAGATAAGAGTCAAAGTATAGCTTTCTTGATGAAAATAATTAGAGTAAATATCAATGAAAGATAAAATGTAAATTGCATAATGGTAACATTTTAAACACAGATTAATCCACAGGGCAATAAAAAGGGAAGTACACAGAACAATTCTCACTAAAAAGCAAATCTCAGAGAAATCTCACATTTTCAGTATCAAGATGGAAGCCTGATTAGTTTCCTTCTACTATGCTCCCAAGGTACTGGTAAACCAGAGAACACAGCATTCAGTAGGCTTTAAAAGCACTATTTCAAATAACTTAAACACAACACTTCTAGCAAGATTCCTGCCTGTTAGTAGCTTTCTCTTCATCAACACACTAGATTTACTGCCATACAGTGGAATTCTAGCTCAGTGATCACAGCAATGATTTCTTGAATTGTGTCTTATTCTCAGCCTTGGATTGGTGTGTGTGTGTGTGAGTGTGTGTGTGTGTGTGTGTGTGTGTGTGTGTGTGTGTGGCTTTTTCACTTAATATAATGAAGGCATAAGACATTAATTACCATCAGGTAATTGTTGAGAAGAGGAATTTTCTAAGAAGATACCATAGACAACAAGACACCTTAGAAAGAAAAAGCTCTTCAGCATGAATCCAGTTTATCTGCTGAAACAAATTCCTGATGTTGAAGAACCATTCATGATATCACCCAAGGACTGAAGCTCACCCATTCACCATTTCTTCTTCTTTATCTTCTTTTCTTTTTTTTTAAAAAAGAAAGCTTTGTAACTTTAAAAATTTAAAGTTTTTTTGCATGACATTCATACCTCATGAACTCAAATTTCAAAGATGCTAGACAAAGGAAAATGCTTGCAAAACAGTGAAAGAGAGTATGCCTTCATTTGCATGCTAGTAAATGAGAACTCAGCTTTACTTGTAGAACCAGCAGTTGACGCTTGGGGCTGGGGTAAGGGTGTACAGTGCATGGTTTGAGTTATTTTTGGATAGCAGTTTTTTATCTGTGAAACTAACATTGAACTAAGGGTTTGTCTTAGTTAATGTTGCATTCCTCCTTAACATGGTCCACAGAAAGTAAAAGTCAGTAGAAAACCATTCAGACTGAAAGGTTTGTGTGTGTGTGTGTGTGTGTGTGTGTGTGCAACAAAATAATGATAAAGCAGGTAGTGAATTTCAAAGAGAGAAAGAAGTAAATGGGAGAGATAAGATGGAGGAAAAAGGATGTAGAAATGATGCAAATACACTAAACTCTCAACGGTAAATGACAAAATGAACAAAAAGGATGTAAGATTTTATTGTTCACCTGCAAGTTCACTTTCCCAACTGCCCTGTTTTATCAATAAAAGAAAGCCAACCATTTTTTCTTCCTGTTATCCACTCTTTCCATCTCTCACAGTATTCCTAGTCCTCTTCCTTGAAAATCCCTGAGGCTTGAGGGGAGGGGTGTTCATGAGTGCTCAGTTTAGAGCTGAGAAGGACCCAGTCTTATGGGCAGGTGAGGGTTCCTATATTCATTGCCATTTACCACAAGGAGAAGCTTCTCTGATGGGGGCTGAAATATGCTATGATCTATGGATATAGGAACACATCATCAGGAGTCTGTAAATTCATTTGGTAGTTCTTTGAAATTTGGATACATTGTACTTAGAACAACAAGTCATTAGGAGTCATTTCAGTCACAGAATAATCATGTTCATCATGAATCTTTTCAAATACAGAAAAAGCATCCTGGGAGGGGAAATCACTCCAGTTCTGCTTATTCTTAGCACCCAGAAGTGAAAACAATATGATTGTCAAAATATTTTACAGAATCAATAAATAAGCGAATTATGTGAAGGCTTTCAAGATGATAGCAAATAAACACATTATGAAATCTGTGTGTAGCATGAAGTGTTTGGTTCTGTTTTCATTCGTTTCAATTTGAGGTTGCAAACTTAAACAAACAGAAGGGTTACTCAGAGCAAAAGCCTGGCTATTGAACAATTTTTAGTGAAATGTTAGTATATTATTAAGATATCAGAATTATTAACATAAGCATTTGCTATGCCAAAGTAGATGGTATTTGTGACAATATGGTAGTTTTTGAAAACCATGTAAAAGATTTTAATAAAATGTCATATACTTTTCAACTGTGGATAATGTTACTACCATTACATTTCTTATAGTTATTTTATATGCAAAATACCATTTAACGTTATAAAATCTAGTTAAGAAGAAGATTCCTTTCCATATATATTTTTTTAATTTTTAAGGTTGTTGATTAAACCCAGGTTCTCACACATGACTGAAACGTAGTCTTCCACTAAGCTACATTGAAGGCCTACCAGCATCCTTTCTCAATTGTTACTTTTATGTGTTTTTTGTCCTCGTAACATTTCTAAAAGTTTTTTAAGTGTACATATTGTATGCTCATAAAGTGAAGCAACAAAATCTAGACTACAATGGATATTTTCCCTGCCACTTTGCAGTCCCCGGATGACCACTTACAAAATTAGACCTAATGCTCACAAGTTCTGTTATAGTTCAAAATGGTGGAATATCATTGATGACACAAGATGTTCACTAGGAAAATATCAAGACCCAAGACATTTGAGGTCTCACACAGATTTATGATTAAAATATTCATGAACTGTGCCAATCAATGAATGATTGAATTTATAAATACATGACTACACCTTTGCTAAGTGATCTGCGCTGGGGATAGAGACTATGCTTGTTCAGTAGCTCTGTTTTTGCTGCATTGTCTCTTGAATATGGGTTACTCCTCTCTTGAAGGAGTGCCCTGCATCAATTCAGTAGGACTTTGGGGTGTTTTTCTACAACTGTGTCAGAGACTTTTACAGCAACCTTGCCCCTATTAATACAGTTGCAGTTTCGAATCTGTAGAACACGACTTGACCTTGAAAGACTCCCGAGGGCGTCTTCCTTCGGGAGAGACCCTGTGCCCAAAGATCAGTCGAAAACACGCAGCCGGATGCAAACAGCAAGAGGTTTATTGGATACGCAGGTACCTGGGGCGACAAAGTCTCTCTGAGGACTTACGCGCCTGCAGGTTGGGGGTGAGGGGTTCTTATAGGAGAGCAAAAAGCGAGGTTTACAGAAGCAAGATGCAGGGTGGTAAATTCTTAACCTAAATAACAATGAGGGGACTACTCAGCGGTTTACTGTTCATCCTATCCTGCCCCCCTTTCCTGGCTGGCGACTAGATGTCTGATTGCACAGCCCCTGACTCGTGAGAGCCCCGCTTTATACGTGACTCAGGCCTCGCAATCCTCTCTTTCTTTGTTTCTATGGCCAGTCCATAAATCTTTGTCTTGCAGCCAGCTAAGGCTGTCCTTGCTCTAATCTCAGGTATCTTTGCTCAGCATTCCGGAGGCCCTGAATTAAGCTTGTTATTTGCTCAGCATTCTGGAGGTCCTGAATTAAGCTTGTTATTTGTGAAACTTTGCAAAACGGTATAACTGTGGTTAAAACGAGTTGGGGTCCTTCAACCTAGAGAGTCCAGCAGTAACAGCTATTCCAGTAGAACCTCAAATGTTTCCTGTCCAGAGTGGAAGGTGGAGAAGAGGGGCTTAGGGAAGCTCCTGGGCTGGTGTTACTGCCTCCCACAGATACAAGCTTTGCCACTTTTCCCAAAGGCCTTGAAACTCTTGTACTGTTAGGAGCCGCCAGGATGTAGCCTTGGCGAGATAGTGACAGTGGTCCTACAGCCTGGAGGTATACAAATTTTTTGATGCTGCCGCAGGCCAGAGTGCTTGGGGCCTTGTTTTGCATTTCAGAGCCTTGGTCCTGTGGCCTTGGGCCCTAGCAGAATGGCATCAACCAATCAGCATTCGAGCCTCTCACCCTAGAAAAGCGGCTGCCTTTGGGTTTTTCGCTCTCTCCCGTCATCCCTTTTCCCCATTCCCCTTTTTAATCAAGTGCTCCAATAAATTGTGATTAAGAAGGATTCTTGATTTTGTGATCATTCCTTCTTGCTGGACAAGGAATGTGTGTTGCATTGTACTAGCATTTCCTCCACACTGCCCCACCCTCAATGTGTTTTGCATTTCTCTTTTTCTTCTAGTGGCTTTTTGTTACGGGAGAGAACCATCCAATGAGGACCTTTCTGTGTTCAGGTATGTTAATGTTTCAGTTCTAAAAATTTT